CAAATTTTATGTATATCTAGAATTTTTTAAATTTATTTAGAAAAATTCTATTCTTACAAAAAAATTCAATCTTCGTTTTTAATTTTTTAAATTTTTTTTAAAATTTTACGTATCTCCTTCTCCTCTCTATTAATTGATCTTCGATAATCTGAAGGTGAGTTATTGTTTTCGTTTCCATCTTCTTCTTCTTCTTTTTTCTTTTTTAAATTTTTATTTGCATTTATAGAATGAATTTTCTTATTTCAATATCTCCTGTAATTGTTTTATTGGATTTCTCTCTGATTTGACGTAACCCTAGATTGAATTTTTCATTTTCATCTTAACTAGCGATCACCTTAATTAAAATTTTGTACATTTTTATCTTCAATTTTTATGTTTTGGTTATGATTAATTGTGCGTTTTTTATCGATAGTCACAATCTTGTCACCACTAGATTGTCGTCATCACAAATCGCCATTGCTGTAGTGAGAGGATGAGAGAGAGTGAGAATTAGAACTCTAATTGTCAACAGAGTAGTGAAAACATATGGAGAAATTATTTTCTGATGTACCTAAAAAAAATTATGGGAAAACTAGTGGGTACCCATCCCCGACCCATCCTCGGTTGAGATTTAAAGAATATCATTTACCCTACCCGATGGACAAGAAAAAAGAAAAAACCCAAGTATTTAGGTTGGGTCTCCATGGATACCTACATGGTAGGTTATCCATTGACATCCCTACTCTGTTGACAATTAGATTTCAAATTCTCACTCTCTCTCATCCTCTTACTACAGCAACGACAATTTGCGATGGCAACAATCTAGCAGTGACAAGATTGTGACTATCGATCAAAAACGCGCAATTAATCATAACCAAAACATGGAAATTGAAGACAAAAATGTACAAAATTTTAATTAAGGTGATCGCTAGTTAAGATAAAAATTAAAAAATTCAATCTAAGGTTACCATCAAATCAGAGAGAAATCTAATAAAACAATTGCAGGAGATATTAAAAAAAAAAATTTATTCTATAAATGCAAATAAAAATTTAAAAAAGAAAAAAGAAGAAGAAGAAGACGGAAACGAGAGCAATAACTCATCTTCAGATTTTTGAAGATTAATTAATAGAGAGAAGAAGGAGATTCATAAAATTAAAAAAAATAAATAAATAAAGAAGATGAATTTTTTTTGTAGGAATAGAATTTTTCTAAATAAATTAAAAAAATTCTAGATATACATAAAATTTGTCAAGAATAATGTGACAATATTAATTAATGTGTATTTGATTTTGTTGTTGAACCAAATAAAATAAAATAAGATTGAATGTATATTTAGCTTTGGCTGTGAATCTTTAACAAAAAAAAAAAATGGTTGTTGACCTTAAAAAAAAACAAATTTAAAAAAAAAAAGATTTATTGTATATTTAGTTTTGATTGTGAATCTTAAAAAAAAATGGTTGTGAACCTTAAAAAAAAACAAAATTTTTTTTTAAAAAGATTGAATGTATATTTAACTTTAGTTGTGAATCTTAAAAAAAAAGAAAAAAGAAAAAAAAAAGTCAAGTTAGGTTGGGTTGGGGAATATCCAAACCCATTAGGAGATGGGAAGGGTAGTACCCATGGGAAATGAGGAAAAATAATTGTGCCTGTTTGGTGCAGCTTAAAAGCTGTTTATTTCAGCTTTCAGTTTAATCTAAGCTATTTTGATGTGTTTAGTTTAACTTAACAATGCAGTTTATAGCTTTTTGTAAGTCAGAAATCAACTTATTCTTTGAGTTGGGCAGGAGATGCGTAATTTATAAGTCAAAAATCAGCTTATGTTCATAATTATAAACTATAAGCTGTTAAGGCATAAGCTATAAGCATTTTCCCACCGCTCTACCAAACAGGACCATTATAGGAGAATGAGGATGGAGAATTAATATCTACTCCCATCAACCCCCATTGCCATCCCTAAGTCCAACCCGAGCTTATGTTAAGAGTCAACAAATTTGATGACAAATCTAGTACTCGCAAGCTACTGAAGTTCAGTAAGTGATTTTCAGAGATAACCCCCTCCAAGGAATTTGAAGCCACATCTAGGACAACTAGTTGTGAAACTTGTTGAAGACTTTGTTCCAATGACCCATTCAATTTGTTATGGGAGAGATACAATTCTCTTAGCCAAGACGACGTTTTGACTTGGTTTTCTGCCGGAATCAAGCCCAAAGTTGTAGGTATCTGACCTTCAAAACTGTTCTCAGAGAGATCAAGAAACATGAGAGAAGTCATGTGTTTTCAAAGGTGTTTGGAATCAAACCTTGCGACTGACTTCTGCTGAGATTAAGAGAAACAAGACTATGGCTGATGCTGAACAGCCAACTAGGCATTGTAGAATTAAAACTATTCAACGAAAGATCAACAAGTTCAAGTTTGGTGAATTTGACATACGGTAGAGTTGGTTGAAGAATCTGCAATTTACAAGTAAACAAGGTTAACTCAACCAGAGAAGGTAGCATATTTATTGCATCAAGCCAATCCGCGACATTACTAAGGTCAACACCACCCAAATCAAGGACCAGCAGAGAAGAAAGGCCACGAAGCCAATTAAGGTTGTTTGTTTGGAGAGAATTTGAGTTTCCACTCAAATCAAGAGACTGCAACCGTGAGAGGTTTCCAAGGTGATCAGGAATTGTTCCCCTAAAGTTGGCATTAGGTAGGTCAACATGTTCAAGACTAACGATAGAACCAATGGACTCAGGAATTTGAATTTGCCTGAAATCAGTTTGACTCAAGTCTAAATAGCTTAGATATGGCAAATCAAGCAGAGAAGCACTCAAGAACTCACCTTGGGAGATTACAGTTCGATGTTGGCTGCGGAGGTCATGGGTCGTGACATGACTAGTGGAATTGTTGCATCCTATGTTACAGACTTTTCAAAATAAATTAAGGAAAATGAGTGAGATTCCCTTTTTGGAGGACCCCACAATCATTACAGTGATCCACACCATTCATAATGTGTCGGCCCAACTCATGTATGTGTGGAGTCCACATCATGAATGGTGTGGATCACTATAGGGGTGGTGGGGTCCTCCAAAAAGGGATCTCTATCATTACTCATAAATTAAATACCCATGTCGGACATCCGATACTTAGACAAGGGTATGGAATATGTGTCGGATACTTTTCAACGGATACTTTTTATATAATTGTATATAACATTATAATTATATGTACATACTGTTGTATAATTGTTATAAATGTCATTTTAACACTGTAAGTTACATATAGTACCATTTTCATTTTATCTCACATACTAAATTAATAATATAAAATATAACATTTTTTTTGCCGAGTTCGTATACTCTTAAATTTATGATTTGATAAGTCCGACCTCTACATACATATCCCGCACCCGACACCCGTGCCTGAATCCATGCAACATAGGTTGCATCCCACACCTCTCCATTGGCAACAGTCATTGTCTTCTACTCCGACCACCCAAGAAGAAAAGAGGCCCCGAAGGATTGGTGAAGCCTTGTTTAAACCAGAGAAGAGCCTCACGCTCACTCTCTATGCACTGAACTTTTGAACTTACTAGGCCATTCAATTTCAAACTGTGTCCAGTGGTGGTTCCCATATATAGAAGAAACCTAATGATGAACAAAGCTACGGCAATATTAGCCATGATCTTGATTTGCTCACAAGTGCAACCAAAGTGTTACTAATAATTACTCAAAAAAACTGAGGTATTCATAAATAACTCAAGCCACCTGAAGTCTACGTAGTCTTTTTCTATGTTTGATTTTCAAAAAAGCTTGTAGACTAGACTAACCAGAAAATATGATTCATAAGTCAAGCGTAACATAGACGTACTAAATCTAAGCAATACGGCAAGCAAATCATGCTCAATTTGTGAGTCCTCATACAGGACTAATTTCTTAATTCTTATTATTTTAGTTGGACCCCTAATTAAACATTTTAATGGTGTTACAAATTCAATATCCATGAGCAAGCAGTAACAGTCAATAAGGCCCTCCTTAGGATCCATTGGCGATCAACTCTTCCCTCCCCTCTATTCACTCACAACTCCACAGCTAACATCCCAGATCCTTCATCTCCACCACACTTCCTTCTATTTCTGCCTCCCCTCCCCACCGCCACGCCACCCTCACTGTCTCAACCACCGCCATCTAAGTTTGCCACTCCCCCTCTCCACATTCCCGTTTCTCTTCCCTCCCCTCTCCACCCAAGCCACCGAATCACCACCAACGGATGGAGTAAAACTTGAGTGTAACAATGATAACACATTATCATGCACGCGTAGTATCACCAACCAATTATAACTTAACACATGATTGAGTAAACCCTATTTGTTAAGTTTAATCATCCACCCATGTCATTATTATAACTTTCTTGTAACGTCCATATCATTATAGTGGGGTTAGGATCTATACATGGTGGATAGATGATAGCATGTTGTTAGTTGATCATACCATGTATACATGATGATGTGATATCACCGTTATAAAAGATTTTTTCTCTCACGGCAGCCACCCATCACACTGCATCCATTGCACAGACCCATGGCCAACTGCCACCACATCTGCACAACACCCACGACCCACAACAGTTCCCTCTTCTCTCTCTCCCAATTTAATTTTTTTGTGACAAAAATTCGTAATTTGAATGAGAATCAATATGGATTTTTACTTCAATTAATTAATAAAATAACAAAATTTAATGTAAAAAATAGGAGTAATCAATTTCTATATGGTGCCCAACCACAATCAGCGGATAAGTGTCATGCAATATAAAAATTAATATAGTTTTTATCATTATTTAAGAAAGGAAAGTATAATTTATTAACATTTTTTGATGCATTCAAATGTCACATTAAGTAATGTTCAACGATTATTAAAACAAGTGACACAAAGAAAGGTACGGAGCGAGAGAGAAAGATAGGGATTGACCTTTCCCCCACATTCAATTCAATAATGTCCTCGAAAATGACTCGAGATACATATAAAAATCAGCAGAAATTAGAGTCTTCAAATCTAAATATCGGAATATAAAATGCAAAAATTACAATTTTAGATTTTGGATTGTTTTGAGAAGATGGTTAGAAGTCGATTTTTTTGGCTTTTTTTGAAAAAAATTGTGTATAAATGTGAGAGATGGTGTAACCAAAATGGGTTAAAAGCTTCCCAAAATAACCCTTTGAATCTACAAGTGAACGTAGATGTCGCTTGATTGAGCAGGTTTTTGAAGATTAAGGAAGCAAATTGAAGTGGGTTTGTGTGAGGGATCTCTAAAAACCCTTGAGCCATATCACATATTCCTCTTCGATAATTCAGGGAAAGCTCTCCCTAAACCCTAATTACGTGTAGGTTAATTACGTGTAGGTTTGTTTTGGAAGTAGCTTTTTTAATAGTTTTTTGATTTTTTAATTATAATATGAAGGGAAAATATAGTGGGTGGTTGGGATTTTTTTTTTTTTGTGACTTTTTTTTTATTGACTTTGATTTTGTTAGTGAATTTTTTAAAAACAAATTATAAAGTTTAGATTCTACTTGATGTAGTGAATTAAAAAATTTGAAAAAAAAAATAAAAAAGACAACAATAAACAAAAAATATGAATCACTTTGCTTGATTTGAGTTTTCTAAAAATACTTTTCAGAAAATTTTACTTTCTTATTTTTCGTATTTTTTTATTTTTACTGAATTTTTTTAATTTTTAGACACACCTAACATAAATATACTTAATAAGTATAATTTTTGTCAATTTTTTTTAAAAAAAATTAACTAAATACTAAAAATACAAAAATTTAGTATATTTTTCATATTTTTGTGTATTTATTAATTTTTTTTCCACAAATATTTTACTTTTTAGATAAATCTAAGTAAGATGCATTTAAAAAAATATATTAAAAAAATGTTTAAAATTTTAAAAATACTCACTAAAAACAAAAAAAAAAACACAAAAAACAAAAAACTTAATTTTTTAAAAATTTAATTCGGAAAACTCAAACCAAATACACTGATTAGTTGTTTTTTTTTTTTTTTGCTTATTTTGGTTTTTTCATTTTTGTTTTTACTTTTTATATTCGTCCACCCAAGATAGACTAAAAAAATTAAAAATTTGACATAATTTTTAAGAAAATTTATCTGTAAATCTCATTTTGAGGAATAGTAATCGGTTTAGTCCAAGAATTTTCTTATAGACCAATTAGTCTTATTAATTTTCAAAAGATAGATTTAATATATTATTTGAAAATTAAATTTACGGTTAGATCTGTATTTCTATTTTATTTTTTTTTTGGTCCTAGTAAGGTAAAACACATAATATATGGAAATCAAATTTGAGATGAATTTTTATATAGAATTCTTTTTTTTTTTTTTTTTTGAATAACTTGAAATGTAAGATTTTCAAACATTTCAAAAGAAGTATAAAAATAACTTGAAATATGAAATTCTTCAAACATTTTAAAAGGATGTGGGATTCTTCAAACATTTTAAAAAAAGTATAAGAACTCGTTAGTAAGTTTTGGATAATGTATAATTTCAAACTGTAATACTCCAATGTAACACTCTAAAAAAACTCCGTAGTATACTTTTTTCAAACGTAGCACTTCAATCTAACACCCAAAAAAATTCCTTAGTGTGACAATAATGAAACACACAAAAAAAACTCCTTAATATACTTTTTTCAAACGTAACATTTCAATGTAACACTTAAAAAAAAAAATGTGAGATTTTTCAAATCATTCCAAAAGGAGTACAATCCAAAAAGAGTTCAAAAATTCCTTAGTAAGTTTTGGACAAATATATATAATTTCAAATGTAGTGTTATGTTTGAAAAAATTACACTAATGAGTTTTTTAGTATTTTTGCGTGTGTTATATTGGAGTGTTACGTTTGAGATTACATTGATTGAAATGTTACATTTGAAAAATGTACATTAAAGAGTTTTTTTATGTGTTACATTGGAGTGCTACATTTGGAAAAATAACACTAAAGAGTATTTTTAAAGTGTTGCGTTGTTACATTTAGAAAAACACACTAAAGAATTTTTTAGTATGTTATATTGAAGTGTTATGCTATTGGAATGTTACGTTCTTGTTCGTAACGTAGGATTTGTTCCAGAATGAGGAAAAATCCAAAACCTCTATAGTACGGATTGTCCAAATATGTAATTTCATATTTGAAGAAACCTACTTTTATTCCTAAAAAATTAAACCCAAACGTGTGAGTGACTACAATTTTGTGTAATTTCTATTTTAATGGGACTTTTAAGTTTATAAGAAAAAATAAAAAAATTAAACAGTTCCAATATCATATTTTGAAATATGTTGGTACTTCACCTTAATTTTTAAAAAAGTAACTAAAGACAAAAAAATTAAAAAAATAAGTTGCTTATTTGGGATGTTCCCAAATATTTAGGAGTGATTTTTTTACTTTTTATGAAATACCTCATAAAAAGTAAAGAGAAATTAAAAAAATTCTGACTTTAGTCTTTTGATCTTTTTAATGACTTTTTAATTTTTTTTTATTAAATTTTTAACTTCCTAAACAATGCCTTAGTATTATTCTACATTTATCAAATTTTCGCATTGGTCCATTCACTTTCAATTGTAATGATTAATTTGTTACACTTTAAAACAAGTTGCAATGTCATCATTCCGATTGTCGGAGACATACATGACATTTTTTTCGCATCATTTGCACCTTTACATTTTTATCAAAATCTCACTTTGTCTTTTTAATTTCCGTGAATCTTATATATGATAGATGAATGAAAAGGTTACATCACAACTTATTAATTTAAAATATAAAGAATTTTAACTATCACAATTGAAAGTAAATAAGCTAAAGTATAAGCACCTTTGGTATGACTTTTGTGTCTTCAGTTATGACCTATTGTAGTGTTGACACATTATGATATTTGTTATGACATTATTTTGATTATAATTTAAGAATTGTTTGGTTATACTTTATGTAATGTTTGGTTATACCTCAATTTTTTATTTTTATTTTTTTTTAGTTCTGACTCCCACAGAATTGAGTTACAATATTTGTAATAATCAAACTTATAAATATCATTACTTACATTTAATATTACCCACCTAAAGTAATTTTTATGAAAAGAGCAAACTTCACTTTATCCCTTAGGATTTAGATTATATGCGATTTACACACCTAACGTTTGGAAATGACTACACTGAAATGTACGTTAAACATTCTATTTAATTTAACAATAAATGTGAAACACATGGCTGACATACAGGAGTTATATACACATTTTCAAATTTCAAGAGAGTAAATCGCACATGGAATAAAAAACAGAAGGTTAAAGTGCACTTTGCCTTCCAAAGAAATAACAAAAATATTTATAGTTCACACACTTAAGTTACTTATTATAGCTCAACTTTTCGTGCTCCTTTCGGATGCAATAGCCCTACAGTTCGGATTCCTATGGTTTTGAATCTGATTCTACCAGTGCAATGTGAAATAAATAAACACAAAAGAGTCTAAATCTAGCAAATCTTTTGGAAAATCAATTTTGAATCAAAATGCCAAAAAATAGACTGCTTTGTCAGATACATAGTCGGTACCTAAATATTTTTGAGAAATTAGGAAACCCGGGACTCGTGCCAAAGGCCACTTATCCGTCATCACCAAAGTTGTCTCGGCTCAGAAACTTAGGTACGAGAGGGGAAGGTCATGAATTGAGCACCCCACTCACCTGATCAAAGATCGGCCTCTACTAATCATGATGTGATTCTTATTTACGTTATATGCTCTTGTTCTGGTTTATTAGGCTAACATTACTATGTGTTGTACATAAGTGTAGACTAATTTGCAAAAATTGGAACACTTTGATTTTATTTTTGTTTTGAAAAATATTGTGACTATGCGCCACTTGAAAAAAGTAAGTTTGTTTGTACATTAATCAATGTATTCCAATTCAAGCAATTAGCCTTCATCCACGGGCATGCCAAATGCAACACCACTTGAACATGCAACAACGTGCCAATAGACCGAGTATGTGACAACATGCAAGGCAAATGTACACACAAGCATTCATGCACACATGGTCCAAAACTTGAGCATGAAGGAGTAACTTTTAAGCCCAAAACAGTGGCTAATATGCTAAGCACATGAAAGCAAATGTACATACAAACATGTATAC